GCAGCGCACAATTTTGACATGTTACCGCTACGCCAAACTGTCGCAGGGGAAAAGTCACTTGCAAAGTAAGCTAAGCCTCTTCTGTGTCACATTTTAACAGTCGACAATTTTACTTCATTTTTATGTTTATAAGTAGAGGTTCGAGACTACTCACATCATTATGAGAAAATTCTACTACCAGTCCTTCATGACCTTAAACGAAATAAGGTGAATACATCTCATATAACTTTACTTCTATTCGTTTCGGAGTAGGATTATTATGAGACGCCTGCAATTTGACACTAAGTAGTGGCGCTGGCGATGCTGAAATATGGCGATGGAATAATTTTATAAGACAGCCATTTCCTACCCGGATGACTTCAGGACCCATGTCGGCCAGATTTACTTCAGCTAAATCTACGTCACCGTTGGAGGCGAGGTTGAGTTTACTCGATGGGATCAGATGATGATCCACCACAGGACAACCGGTTGAGCCACTGCCTGAGAGTGCAGCTCCAGGAAAGCGTCTGTTCACAAATCCCGGCAGTGAGGCCGGCCAGTAATGGTACCAAAACTGAATATAGGAAAGAAAGTTCATGAGGATAGTAGAAAATCAAAATAAACGAATGAGAATATTAGAATATATTGAGACCAAGATGCTGTGGCCTCTATTATGGTCGCAGTCTCCTTTCGATTTATAGAAGTGTTAGTTGACCTCGTTGTCGCAATTTGGTCTTGTTGTCAGGGCGACTATGCAGAACGCACTTAGTCCGAAGTATTCTGCCAAAGTAGTTGTCATGATTCCCATCATCTGACAGTGGACTTGGTACATTCTCAAACGTTTCGCCGGCATCATCAGTGAGCTTTGCCATTCTCCGCACTGAGCTACGAACTCGTCAAAGAGACAAGTGAAGCCAATCCCTCGACAACCGTTCTGGACATCATCAGAGCTGGGAGTCATTCTTTTTACAGGTTTTCGTTAACACTATGCCAAGAAGACTATCCGGCTTTATCTTATATCTTATATAGACTCATTTGAGTCAAAAGTAAATTAAAAATTAAAAACCTGGATGGATATAGAGTGGTTTGGCTAATTATCTTTCATACTTGTCCTGCTACTTTTGCTCGA